GAGCACACGCTGTGCACAGGGGTCGGCTCCTGTTGATCTGTTTTCAGAATAGACATGTGGCCCTGGGTCTCTGAGCTCATCTTATAGCTGATCCAAATCCTTTGGACCAACCCAGTTTCCTGTGAGTAACAGACCACCTCCGGCAGAGCTTGTTCGGGTCAGCCACTGTGGAACCCTGCTTTCAAGAGCCCCACAGAGGGTCGAATGAAGTTAGGGAGCGAGAATAAGGTAGAGTTTGCCAAGCCCCGACCTCCACCTTGTCCTCGTCTTTTCCACCACGCTTACTTTTGATGTCCAAAGAACAGTTTGCACTCCAGCCGTCTCTACACTCCTGAGGTTACTCCCAAGGATTTGGTAGTTTCCTGTGTTTTCTTTCTTCTCTTCCTGTGAATATCTAATTCCACAGTTATTACACACAGAGAGAGAGGCAAAGAGATAGAAAGAGAGAGATACACACAGACACACACACACACACACACACACACAGAGAGAGAGAGAGAGAGAGAGAGAGAGAGAGAGAGATACACACATAGCTGATACATTTTGGCTTCCAAAGTTTTGTAAGGTATGTTGGCTCCAGAAGAGAAACAAAAATTTAAAAAAAGGCCATTCCCTGGCAAAGAAAGAGCCTGGTGATACAGGTGGTGGGGCGAACATTCCCAGCCTGCTTCCCTACTTGGTTCCTTTGATGCAATTCATTTGTGCCCTACAGGATGTTTCATGGTAACGAAACCCATACTCAAAAATCAAGTCTTCGCAAGTAGCCACCTCGGGATTTTTCTGTGCAGTGGAGCCGTGTGTGTGAGCATGTGCGTTAGGAGGAAGGGATGTTACTCTCCGGGTACTTCCAAAGCTGATCCCGAAGGATAAAATAAGATATGGCTCTAATTTAATGAGATACTAAAATCTTCCAGCTGCCTTACCTAACAGTTCTTGTGCTTGCCCCCGGTATAAAGAGCTGGGGCAATAACTCTATTTACTGCTTTGATTTCCTCCCCCTGGCTCACTGGTGGGAAGTCAAAGATGCTGATTTACAAACAGAGGTTTCTTCCGGACTATTTTTAGAACAATGCTTTCCCAGATTTATGGGAGGGGGACTCCAGTCACTTTTGAGCAGCGTAGCATTTCACTGCATAATAATGAAGTACTAATTGCTCTTTGTCATCACTTTTTATGCAAATTGCCCGGGAGCATTTGCCCAATATGCATTTTACATTTTAACAAAGAAAGTGCAGTCCTGATGAACAAGAATCCTATACCCAAGCAAAAATAAAAACATCAGCTATAAAATCGACTGTTTAAGGGACAATCTAAGAGATACTTTGTTCTATGTTTACCAGTCTCATCAGTTGGTCTGCTTGACCAATAGGATTCCTTCGAACCCAAAATAATGGTTTATGCATTAAGCAAGTATATATATATACACACACACATATATATATGTATATATATATGAAATTTTTGTACATAACCTTCACATTTTGCTTCTCACACAACATTGTTTTTCTAGCAGAATTTAAACAGGCCACGTTAAAACGTAGATTGCTGAGGAACTGAATGGTGCAAAAACTCTTTTAGAGGCTTTCACTACCAGAGCCTAGAAGCTTGCCTCAGAACGTGTGTCCTCCTTCCAGTCTGGATGCCATCGCCGACCACTATCAAGCGACAGCGAGAGACACAGGACCGAAACTTGGGGAACTTCAGAGAGAAACTAAACTCCAAACCCAGCCTTCGCGGTTATCATGAAGATGCGTTTGTCAAGGTTAGAGGCTAGGACATATTTTATTTAACAGTCTGTTAGCTTGATCTATACCATCTAAATATTTAAACATAAGCTATGTGGGCCCCCATTTGCACAGCGCCCTGTGCCTCCCTGAAGTTAGGCTAATCCTTCGAACCACTGCCCACTTCCAGCTCACAAGTGTCAATGGGATGTTTCTTCTAAAAATGCGGTAAAGCCCCCCCCCCCCCCAAAGCACCTCTGCTTTTCAGGAAATCTACACTTTAAAAACAAAAAAATCCAGCGTGTAATTTTTTTTTTCCTGAACAGGTGCTGTTCTGGGAAGCAGTGAAGACATCCCCCAGATGTGCAGACACTGTGCCCATGTAGAAATGACCTTTCTAGCATACTGTTTCCAAAGACAGACTATTTCGCAGGAATGACTATCACTACGGGAGAAACCTGTACGGTTCCAGGTTTCAAAGCCATTTTCAGATTTAAAGTGGTCATCCAAGCCCCTACTTCAAGGCCGGATGTTTAAGGTGTGATCTACCTGCTCCTTGGAGTCCGCCTCCTGCTCCAGAACAGCCTGTACCTTGAGTTGTTGGATCAGTGTGGGCTGGGAGATTGGCACTCCTGGTCCCAGACCCCTCCATTAGACAGCCTGATTAGGGGATGAAATAGCGGCAACCATGAGCTTCTGGGCCCAGGAAATGCACTGTGAAGGGCGTAATGAATTACTTATGCCGTGCCGTGTGCGTATAAATCATATTAAAGCATGCCGAACAGTACATTATCATGCTTCTATTTTGCATTACAAAAGTAACTAATGTAAGCTGCAAAGTGTACTTTTAATCCATTATTCATTTCTAAAAGTAGTCAGACCATGATTCAAGTGCCGTAAAAAGCTACCAGTATAAGCAAATATGCTTTTCAATTCATGAGGTTGAAACAGCACGGTTTTCAAATCGATTTTAAATTGCGAAGTATTTATCAAAACTTATATTAAATCTTTGCATTCCTCGTTCGGGAGCAGGACTTATGACAGGCCATAACTTTTTCCCTCAAAGAGGTTATTGTTTTCAAACCCAGAAATCCCTGCCATTCCTTTCATCCTGTGTGAGTCTCTGTTTGTTTTATCTCACTCTTGGTGTTTACACTGGATCAAATATCTATTTTTAGTGACCTTTCTCATTTGGGCTCAGCTTTGCATACTCTGGTTTTCTACCATGCCTCAGTGTGCTCAGTGTCTCTCCCAACAATGTTTGCCCGGTGCTCGAGCAAGAACTTGGGGCGAGCTTCCTAAGCACCCCACTACACTGTTCTTTAGAGTCCCGGGAAGTCCCTGCTCAAAAGGTGAGAGCCATTTGAGCCATTTGGCAAGGCTGACCTAAACTAACACAAAAGCAGCACAAGGTAAAGATGACAAACAAAATAAATGTTGCAGGCTCTCCTGCGAAGGGCCATAACTCCTTAACGTTCGTCATAAAAAGTGAGGAAAGCCCGACAACCTAAGAGAAGCTGAACGGCAGGTGTGTGCAGAAAAATTGTGAGGGAATAGGAACACCTCGTTCAGACGAGAGTGGTTCAAATTAAGGCCACGTGACACCGCACTCCCCACGCGTCAAAGCATGATCACCTAGTTGCCGGCGAGGTTGTGGGAAATATCCCTTAATATTCTAGCAGGACAACTAATGAGCGCTTAGCCCCTGGATGGCAACAGGACGCTCCGGATCCATGCTAATGTTGTGACCTCTAACACCATTGCTGGGAACTCACCCCACAGATGGATGTGCACTTATAAAGTGATGTGTGTGCCAAGTTGTCAAGTTGAGACGGAAGTGTCCCCACCAGCCATGCTGACGGCTTAGTCTCGAGTCAAGGGTCGTCTCAGAAGGTAGTGGGAACTTTCCCGGAAGGCTTGTCACTGGCCTCTTTTTCTTCCCCATGAGCAGGACACCTTCGTTTAATGACCACCTCTGTCAAGCTGCTGTTCCTTACCGCAGGCCACAGAGACAGAGGCAGCCGAGCCCTCTGAAACCCTGAGCCAGAATGAACCCTTTCTTACTGTGGGTTGTTCTCTCAGGCATGCGTTATGGTAATGAAACCTAACACAAAGGCCACCCACAGCAGAATCACATGTAACAGCCAAAGTTTGAATACCACTCAGGTGTCTATTAATAGGTATAGAGTTTAACATCCTGCCGTGTGCCTACTTGGCATGAATATTTGGCTGAACATTATACTGGGTGTTTACAGAAGTGGTAAACATTTAAATAGGTCAACGTTTGCATAAAGCAAGCTGGTCTCTGTAGTGGGGCTGTGAGGCAGGGGCTTCATCCAGCCTGTTGAAGGTCTGGAGATCTCTCCCCCCAAAAGAAAGAACTCCGGCCGGTGCTCTGTGAACAGGGCCTTGGAGTTTTTCTCCTGTCTTCTGATCTGCCCAGAATCACTGACATTCCCTGGGTTCAGAGCACGCTGGCCTCCAGAACAGAGCTGCCCTTTCTGCTATCCTTGACCTCCAGCATATAGACAGCTTAGCTTAGCACATCTTAGAAGCCTTGCGCCTCCACAGATAAGCACTCCTGTCCTAAAGCTCTCTTGTTTGTTCATCCCATTGACTTTGTCTCTGAAGAACTTGGATGGATGCAGCAGGGAGCTGGTGAAGAAAACCCAGTAGACGCACAGTGAATAGTACTTAGCCATGAAAAAGCAGATGGAGAAGACTCTTGTTCACTGGGGTGAAAATATCTTCAGGATGTGATTAATAGCTGTAAGACACAGAGGACATACTGTTTGCTAACCTTTGTATAAATGGGAAAGCAGGTAGCATTATACATTTGTAGTTGAATATATCTGCACTAGGAAACTATTTATATTTTTTGAAATACAAATACAATTACATCATTTTTCCCTTTCCTGATCCTCCTTCAAACCTTTCCCATGTGCCCTCTCTCAGATTCATGGCCTCTATTTTTACATTGTAAAAATGTTATATATGTAAAAAAATATATATGGTGATTTGAATGTGCTTGGCCCCCTAAGCTTATAGGAAGTGGCACTATTAGGAGGTGTGGCTTTGTTGGAAGTAGTGTGTCACTGTAGGGACAGATTTTCAGGTTTCTTCTGCTCAGGATACTGTCCAGTGTTTCAGTCAACTTCCTGTTGCCTGCAAGATGTAGGACTCTCAGCACCATGTCTGCCTGCATGCTGCCATGCTTCCCGCAATGATGATAATGGACCAAATCCCTGAAACTGTAAGTCAGTCACCCCAATTAAATGTTTTCCTTCCAAGGGTTGCCATGGTCATGGTGCCCTTTCCCTGACAGATGGATGTGCACATGCACTTATGAAATGATGTGTGCACAAATTTATTATCATGAGACTGTGAAATGACTCTGCAAGTCATGCTGATGGCTTGTTCTCTAATTGGTGGTCATCTCAGGGGATAGTGGGAACATTCAGGGAAACCTTGTTACAGGCCTCTTTTTTTCCCTACCTGAGAAGATAGAAACACTACCTAAGACCATAAATATATTTCTAAATATATAAATAGAGCTCACTCAGTATATATATGTGTGTGTGCTTGCATGTATATAATGATAGATTTGGCACTTAGTATTGGATAACCATTTCTCCCATCCTGGGCTTCCTTAGTTGCCTGTAGTTCTTCATCTAGAATGGTGGTCTCATGACATTCCTTCCTTCCATGTTAGCATGTCTGTCAGTGTTAGCCTTTCTCAGGTCTTGGTTAGGCAGCCATGTTGATGAGACTTCACAGTGTAGTTTCTCTGACATTTCTAGGAGACACAGCCGTACAGCCAAGTTCTTGTTCCTCTTACAGTCTTTCCACCCCATCTCCCACTATGATCCCACTATGATCCCTGAGCCTTAGGTACAAAAGTTGTATCCGTTGAGACTGGACACTGCATGGCCACTTGTTCTTTGCATTGTGATCAGGTGTGATTTTCTGTGGAGATCTCTGTCCGTGGCAAGGAGACATTTCTTTGAAGAAGGATGAGGTCATTCTTGTCTGCGGGTACAAGGATAAATATTTAGGGTGGAGTTAGGGATTGTGCTGGTTTAGAAAAATTAGTGATTGCAGGTTCTTCTCCAAGATCCATCACCCTAACCCCCAACTCCTCCCACCCCTCAAAATTCATAATCTCTTCTTTAGTTATTATTATTGTACATACACATAACATATGTGCACACATGTCTATATAATCTACTGAGTCCATTTACCTCTGCTCGTCTCTACATGTACGCAACTGACTACTTGGTACTGGGCAATTTAGTGGGGAGGTCATCCCTGGAGGAGGAAGACTCGCCCTCTCTCAACAGCCATGCCCTTCCTGTAGCTCGTCTCTAGGGCTGGGACCCTGGCAGGTCAGCTGGTGCTGTCGCTGTACTGAGTTTGCTCAGGGAACCACATGCTGAGATTTCATGGGTGCAGCATCCTTGTCACGTCCAGAGGACACCATCTCACAGCAGATGTTCTGGGCTTCTGGCTTTCACCATCTTTCCACTCCTTCTGCAGCTTCCCCTGAGCCGTAGCGGTAGCAGTTACTTCACTGGGCCCAGTGGGGTTGGGCCCCCCAAGACACTTGTGCTCTGATTGTAACCAGTTGTTTGGTCTCTATAGCAGTCCCCATGTGTTGGAAAATGGAGCTTCTTTGGTGAGGGGTCAGAGCTGCACTTCTAAGGGCATAAGAGTAAATATTTAGATTAGTTAGAAATTATATTGGTTTAGGAAAATGGCAGTAGGTGCTTTCCTCCCAGGTCTGTGACGTCCCCAGCGGTGGGTAGTTGGCTACATTTACAGTACCAGGCCTGCATTCCCTTCTGTTGAGCAAGCTTTGAGTCTAATTAGATAGCTCTTCATCACCCACAACATAAAAGTGCCACTATTATTTAAAAAAACACACGTACTATCTAGGCATATGTGTATATGTATATAAATAATTGAAGTAATGCCACTTGGGGTGATTACTACTTCCACATACACACCAGGAGTCCTAGACTCACTCAAGTCAGGCATAGGAAGCCCCTGTTTGAATTGTCGGGCGGGGGGGGGGGTGTCTAAGCAACTCCCAAAATAATACAGACCACTGCCACTGCCTTTAGCTGCCTCCCAGGCCTGGAAGGTAAAACCACACAGTCCAGACACCAGCTTTCAAGAAATCAAGCTGGAACTGACCTGGGACACCTCCTTTCTGAGGATTAACTCTCACAGTATTGGGGAGGGGGGCGGCATGTAAACTGCAAAGGGGGATTAGAAACCATAGGCTTACCCAGTTGTAAAACCTATGAACCACAGTAATGGCTGGACGGGCAAAGACATCCATTTTGACGGGCTTCCCATCAAAACCTATGGACCACAGTAATGACAGGATGAGAGGGTTATCCATAGTGATACATGGCTTCCCATCAAAACTTATGGACCACAGTAATGGTTGGATGGGCAAAGATAGCACGGTGCTCCATGGCTTCTCATCAAAACCTATGAACCTCAGTAATGACCAAATGACCCACTTATCTGTTATCAAAATAGAAGGCAAAGCTTTGCCTGGCCTGGCATCTCTGCTCTGCCACTGGGCATCGCCACGCATGCAAGGGAAACTGAGAGAACAGTAAAGTTGTCATCTTGAGTGCTGAGGGCACAGAACAGCTCTTTGGTAGAGCGTTTACTTAGCCAGCCAAACCCTGGGCTCCATCCCTAAGGCCACCAAGAAGAAAAGGCCCCTGGAGCGGCTCTTACTCCTTTAGGAGACTGTGACCATGTAACCTTTCTAATCGGAAGGTAGCCATTTTACATCTCCTTCCGGAAAGACTGAAATACTTCCTACTTCAAACTAGTGTTTTTGTTCTTTGAAACTAGAGAATCTATATTTCTCATTTTAAGACAACAGTTCCTATGGGAACAAAGTATCAGTTTCTCTTGGCAACCGCTGCAGCTTTTCCCAACGTTGATACACTTGCGGTTTCAACACAAAACTACTTTCAGTAAGTGCTTATTGCTACCATCATAGAAATAAAAACTGAAAGTCCTAAGATGGACATAAAATTACATCATATAAATTATGAAAACTATGCAATAATAACCTAGGAACAACACCAAACAAAAAGACTTCAAAGAAACAACTTAAAACAGTAACGCCTTCTTTGTGTCTGTTTTCTAAATTTTTGTTTTCTGAGTAACTAGCAGTGCAGAGAAAGAAAACAGGAGACTGCAGCTAGGTGGAGGGGGATGGGCGTGCTGCACACTGCAGGAAAGGCTGGTCTGCCTGTGGGAGAGCGCTTGCAACAGCCAGCACCAGCTTCACACCCATCTCTGTAGGAGTCAAATATGGACCCACTGGTCCCTGCTCTTCCCATGAAAAAATGACGTACAAGTTTATTTTAAATGACAACATTCCACAATCCTTTACTTTTAGTTTCCCTGGTATCACATGCCATGTGTTGACCCAATATTGAAGTCAACCACTGGAAGGCATGGGGGGCGGGGGGAGAATGACTACATGAAATTTTCAAAAACAGGTGTCTAAAACTTAAGCCTTACACTTAAGACCCAGGGAACATCACAGAAGAGCGGAGGAAAGTCTGTAAGAGTCAGAGGACTCTTAGACATTATCTTAAGACATCAGCTTTGAGATAGACTCTTCTAGAACCAAAAGAAAACATGAAGTGGGCAGAGGGGCGAGGTAGACGTGGGAGGAGTTGAGGGAAGGAGTGGAGAACAAATGTGATCAAGACACATTGTATGAAATTCTCAAAGAATCAATCAAACTATTATATTATTAAACCAAAAGGTTTGGGACACAGCCTCATTTGTCGAGCAATGTCTAAGCTGCTACCCATGCTTCTGTATTTTCTCCACAGTTGAGAGTTCCTGAAGTGCCACATTCTGTTCTCAAGTGTTGGAGTCTTGGGGATCATCTGACAAAAAAACCATTTAGCTCAAGATGAGGAGTCTTCAGTGCCTAGTGGCAGCCCTGGAATTGGGACCGTCTGCGTCCTCCAGTGTTGGCCTCATTCATCGCACACTGCTCACCTTGTTGTTAGTCTTTGCTGTGGGTTCCGTCCGTATTTTTCACATCTTTGAGATGTCATTCTGTACCATCTGTGCCACTCGGTGTGACTCATCTCTGAAGCTTAACTGACTCGCTCACGTGAGCAGTCTGACTCTCAGAACGTGCACGCTCCCCATCATGCTGGAGGCTTGCCTCTCATTCCCTGACAGAAGCGATGCTTGCTTTGGCGTCTGCCATGGTGGCAGATCTTCCTCTGATGATAGGGAAGCTATCACTGAAACAGAAAGACAGACAAAGAACAATTTCTGGATTATTATGTTTAATAGTCATATTCAAAAGTCAGCACACCTAGGCAGACGTGGTGTGTGTCTGTGATCTTAGCACTCACAGGGCTGAGACAGAAAGAGCACAGCGTGGCAGTATGGATTCTCTCTCTCTCTCTCTCTTTCTCTCTCTCTCTCTCTCTCTCTCTCTCTCTCTCTCACACACACACACACACACACACACACACACAAGCCAGCATCCTATGTGTGGATAAATCAGAAAAGAAAACCAGCAGACTTTGGCTGAGACCATTTTTCTTTGGTGAAAATGAACTCAGACCCACTGGTAAGCAAATGTGAAAAGACATAATCGCACATTGCTTCTTTTTTAGATATATTTATTTATTATGTATACAACATTCCTTCCATGTATGTTTGCATGCCAGAAGAGGGCACCAGATCTCATTATAGATGGCTGTGAGCCACCAGGTGGGTGCTGGGAATTGAACTCAGGACCTCTGGAAGAGCAGTCAGTGCTCTTAACCTCTGAGCCATCTCTCCAGCCCCCGCACATTGCTTCTTAATGACAAACAGCATTTCACAGTTCAGAACAGCGGCATCTTTTTAAGATGGCTACTATGAGATCCAGATCTTAACAGATCGCCAGGAGAAGGTAGACCAGTGACCGGAGAATGCTGAGTTTTGATGTGAGCCTCGAGAGAGAGAAGCCTTCATTTGGCGGGGCATGGTCCAGCCGTGCATCTCTTTAAACACACCGTGGGCTAAGAGAACAGGGGTGGGCAAACCAGGATGCAGAAAGCGTGAAAAAGAGCATCATGGAGTACATTTCCAAAGTAGTCTCACCTTTCGGAAGATCGCTTCCATAAATGGCTCTGCAGTGATATCCCAGCTATGTTCCGGACGCCAGTGGCTCTGCTGTTGATGTTCTCATCCTTGGTCTGGCTGCTGGGTGTTCACTCTGAGAGAGCACGCTGAGTTGTGAACCTCTGACCTCTTCCTTACCCTTTATAAGTACACTGTATTTAGAGGGGGAAAGTCCTGCCTAAATACTCACGAGATTTATAGGTGTAACAGCTAATGTGTATACACTTATTAAGCGGCTGTCTACGTTTTCCGATGGCATGCTAGAAGCTTGCGGTGAAGGAGGGGGGAGAAAAGGAACAGGACAAAACCCACCTCTAAAATCTCAAGAATGAAACCAAGCCATGAAGCAGGAATGAAGAACTAAGCCAGAGTACAATGTAGCAGTTTGTCAATAAAAAGTTGTGACCACCTGGTGACGTCATTTTTAGGGTAATAGCAGAACTATTATAACTAGTCTCCTTCTAAAAGAGGACAGATCAGATTCATGCCATGAAGCAATGTGGTTTTTTTTCCAGGATTGTCTCTTCACTGCTCAGGGAGGTAGGTAGTGTGAAGTCATAAATGCCAGGGTTTAAGTACCGAGTGGGCCAATTTTAGCTACACAGCACTGGGCATATTAACCTATCTGACCCTTAATTTGTTCATCTGTACAAGAGCAATAATAAGACCTACCCTGTGGAGTTGTTATGAAAATTAAGTAAATAACACACTTGATGTTCCAGGCTACTGCCCAGATCAATGGCAAGAGCAACAATTATTATTATTATTATTACAAAACATGACATTTGTGGGGGGGATATTTTTCGTTTGAAATCACTTAAATCTATTTAAAAGCAAACTTGAATGTTTTGGTAAAGCTATTTCTTTCTACAGGTCACATGAAAAACATTCAGGAGCCGTGAGCATTGCCTGCACATGAAAGACTATGACTGTTGAGAGATTATGACTACCAAGCCTTATAGATTTTAGTAGAACGTGAGGCGTGAACGTGACCGTGCAAGCTCCTAACAGGTGCTGTGTGTTGATGCACAAACGCCAAGCAGTTAATACAGCCCCCAGATGTACTTGGCCTTCAGTTTCCTTTGCCACAGTTGCTTAAATAGGAGTTACCGCCCTTGACCTGGGGAGCAGAGCTGCCAACAGAGCAGTCCACTGGGAGACTGTTTCAACTTGAAAGTGTTTCTGAGCAAGTTCTGGCTTTACTTTCCCACCCAAATCAAAATGCAAGGATCACGTTGTATTTAGACAGGGTTCGGGTCTAGATTTTGATTTCTGGATGTCTAAGCATTAAGGTTTATTCCACTATACATCCTGGTTAGCATCAAATAAGTCTGTACCCACAGAAAGCGTTGTTAATATAAATAGAAACATATTTATATAAAACTCCTTTTTAAAATAACCTGGAGCCCAAATGAAGCCCCCAAGTCCAAAGAAGCTCAGAATGGAGAAGTCACAGCCGTCTTCGTGTGCCTGGTTGTTTTGACTGTCCCCATGTGCCTGGTGTTTTGACTGTCCCCATGTGCCCGACTGCTTAGATAGCTGAGATTTTTTGAACTGGAACAGAATTAGCCCTGTCCAATCTTGTCATTCAAGTTTGGTAAACGAAACTAGTATTGTTTTTAATTTCATTTCCTTTTTTATTGAAAAAAAATCTGTTATTTGCTTTTCTAAATTACACTAAAATCTAAGTTTACTGTCATGGTGCTGAGTCTGCCTGTTTGCAAAAGACAAAACACAAACTATTGCTAAAAGTAGCATGGTACAGGTGTCCACTGTAACCATGAGAGCTGCCCAAGGAGGGCTCTCAGAATGAACCATCGGAAAACGGTTACCTGGTGCTTCTAGACATTTACACACAGTCTGCTTCTGAGCTGGAAGAGAATGGTATGAGTTTCGTCTCCGTTTTAAAGGGGGAAATTGTTGGGAAGCTGAATCGCTCTTTGATTCCAGCAAGCACTCAATGCTAACGTTTTCTGGTGTCTAACCTTGGCTCTGTTGTTGACGCTCTCTCTCAGCCCTAGGAAGCCTTTGTGATTCAGATTCTCCATCACGACACAGCAGTATGGCATGTACTCTTTATTTCCCACAGCTGATGCATCCCTGAACGCTTGTGTGAACTCAGTGCTGGAGAATAAAATCACAAACTTTGAATATATTAGAGAAGTATTTTCAGAAATTTCCAGATGAATCGTTTTGTCAAAGGAAAAATTCTGTGTATTTTATTTTTTAAAAAAATGCTCAACGCTGATCAGTTAAGAGTTCATTTTACTCTTGCAGAGGACCAGAATTCAGTCCCCAAAACCCTGGTCAGGTGACTCACAACTATTTGTAACTCTATCTCTAGAGGATCATCTTCTGACCTTCAAGAAGGAAACCTGCACTCATGTGCACGTAGCTGCTCTCTCTTCCTCTCTCTTTCTCTTTCATGAGAGGATTAAAGGTAAAATAAATATAAATTAGGCTTTTAGTATTATTGCGATGGTAAGATTTGCCCAAGTGACCAGATTTGAAACCATTAGAAGTCATACATCCCGGTGTGACGGTGAGAGAGGATTTCCAGAAAGGTTGATCTGAAGAGGGAAGAGCCACCCTGAATGTGGGTGGCACCATCCTGCTGGACTGAATAGAGAGAAGAAAGGAGGTTGAGTGCCAGCATTCGTCTGTCTCTCTTTGCTGACTTCAGACATGATGTGACCGGCCATCTGAGGTCCTGCCTGGATACTGTGAAGCGCTATTCCCTCTCAGACCATGAACCCAACTCTCCCATCCTTCAGTCGCCTCTGTCTGGTAATTTATCACAGCACTGAGACAAACAACTTATGTGCGTCTCTCCTTTTAACCTGGGGCACGGTTTAAAAGGGAGTGTATGGTGATTTTGCAGGTGTGGTTGGTGGGGGGGAGTCTGGAAGTTTTACGAGTCTTGGTCCTTGGTCCTTGTTCAACATCTTGTTGCAGTGTTAAGGTAGGAGCACCCGGGACGGGGGAGGGGCAAAGAGAGCTGGGCTGATGCAGGATGGTTGTTCAGATATTAAAATCACCCTATGATGTTGGGGGTGGGGCAGGGGGAGAAGAAGAGAAATCTAAGCTGGAGAGAGGGCAGGCCAGGGAGGGGGAAGAGCTTGGGTAGGAAGAGGTTCAGCAGAAATGACAGGGAACTTTGCATGGCCACGAGGCTAAAGGAAGAGTAATGGGCACATGGTGATGAAGGGGTGGCCACAAACAGCCAAGGCTGTGGCAAGGCAAGAGTCTAGGAGAGAAGATGATGCTGGGGTTTTAGTTTAATCTGAGAGGGTTTTAAATAGAGGGGTGAGTGACACTATTCAACCTTTAAAGCAAACCTTCCTTCTGCCGTGTGAGGCCAGATCTGGGTGGTAAGGATGGAGCTGCAGACCATACTGCCATCCAGGAAGAGAGCGTGCAGCCTGCAATGAGGTAAGGTCTGGGGAAATGGGGGTAGTGGCCAGGTTTAAACTAACGTTTAAAGATAGAATCAGTGGGTGTGGCTGAAAGATGGAAGCAGGGGAGCAAGGGGAGTGAAGGCTCGGGGGTCACTCCTAAGTGTGAGCATGAGGACGAAGTGACTCCCGAGTGTGAGCGTGAGCACAGAGTGACTCCTGAGCGTGAGTGTGAGCACAGAGTGACTCCTGAGCATGAGTGTGAGGACAGAGTGAATCCCGAGTGTGAGCGTGAGCACAGAGTGACTCCTGGGTGTGAGCATGAGCACAGAGTGACTCCCGAGTGTGAGCACAGAGTGACTCCCAAGTGTGAGTGTGAACACAGAGTGACTCTCTCTTTGCGTGTTTCCCAGCAGGACAGCATCTCAGCGATTCAGGGCCTCCACAGTATGGTTCACCACTTCCCTCCCTCCAGCTCTGCTTTCCCTCCTGAATTCTAGATCCCTCATTTTGTAGTCCTGTAACGCACTGAACCCAGTCCTTCTCCTTCCTCCTCAGTTCTGAAGTTGGAGGATTGGATTTTTTAAGGACAACCTGTCTCCTATTGAACCCCATCCTCAAATAATTTCCCGAGTACTGAGGGATATCATCGCCAGGAGAGTCATCAGCTCTCTTTCTTTTCTGTCCAAACCATCTCCATTAGTGACATCCCCTGGCCAGACACTGTTGGCATCTTCTCTCTTGTTTCTTGCTCTCCCCCTCCGCCCTGGGCCTATTTCCAGGTTTACTTTCCTGAAGGAAGAAATCTCAGCGTTGTAGCATGAGGGCCAGCTTGTTGGGGTATCTGTTCCCACAGCCGGCAATTCCCAGAGAAAATCAATCACACGGAGATCTCTATAAGTTATAAAGCTGATTGGCCCATTAGGTCAAGCTACTTATTAGCTCTTATAACTTATGTTACCCCATTATCCTTATCTCTGTTAGCCACATGGCTCCGTACCTTTTCCAGTGGGGCAGCTTACATCTTTCCTCTCCAGTGGTCTGGGCAGAACTGCGGAGGGAGCTTCCTGCTTCCCAGAATTCTCCCAGTCTCTTTGCTCCACCTCTACTTCCTGTCTGGCTTTCCCGCCTATACTGCCTGCCTGGCCAATCAGCGTTTTATTAAAATATGATTGACAGAATACAGACAATTCTCCCACACCACAGCGTTTCACACCACTGTTCAAAAACGGCCACTGCCTTCGTATAATGAAGATATCAACTGCAGACACAGTGGTGGGATTCAAGGTCGTCTGTCTCTAAACAGTGGCCAGTGTGAGAGGTACTACCTACAGAAGAGGCAAGATGCCGTGACCGCTAAAGAGTGGGAGGAAGGGAATGGACACCCGTTTGCTGTGGGATAATGCTCTTGTACACTATAAAGATTTTTCACTGTTATTAGTTTCATAAAATATTGCTTGGTCAGTAGCCAGGCAGGAAGTGTAGGCAGAGCGACCACACTAGGAGAGTTCTGGGAAGAGGAAAGGTCGCCATCCAGACACACAGTCGCCATCCAGACACAGAGGAAACAAGATGACAATGCCTCACTGAGAAAAGATACTAAGCCACGTGGCTAAACATAGTCAAGAATTATGGGTTAATTTAAGTTGTAAGTTCTAGTTAATAATAAACCTGAGCTAATAGGTCAAACCATTTATAATTAATATAAGGCTCTGTGTGTGTACCAACTGTGGGACTGAGAATGACAGAAACTTCTGTCTGCACCCGCTGGATATGAACACACTGAATATGGGGACTGTCCCTGGTCTACATGAAGATCCCTTCCAGAATGCCCCTGACAGAGGTCCCACCCCGTCAGTATCAGATCCTGGAGAGGACCTGAAGGTGAACACAGGATGTTTTGACTGCTTAAACTACCCCCTTTCCTTTAAGATGGAAATGTGTCAGACCTGGCTTCCCTTCCATGACATGACCCATAATCCAGTGGTACCAAGCAGAGGCTTCCCCATGAGCCTGGGGAGGAAAGTGAAATCTCCCCACAGGGTGTAGAGAACCCACAAGCCCATAGCTGCCTGTAGCCACTTTGATTGGGCATCCCGAGCTCCTCTTTGGGAACAATACCACCAAAGAGGTAAATGGAACAACACCAACAAAGAGCTAGGGGCACTGCCACTTGTAGCCCATGGGAAGGGAGCACAGGACACTGTATTAACTGTCCTTATCACTGTGAACCAAACCTGCCATTTGTGCAAGAAGCAGTCTGTGTCCAGTGCCATTCAGCTGAACCTCTACTCAAGCCAGGGAGGGTCTCGATGGTTTGTTTACACCTCCCGCCTCAGAGAGGGCCTGCGAGCCTTGGATCCTCTCTGTGCCCTGAACTCTGGGAAGCTCCATGACAATGTCAATGTTATCACATTGCCACCTAGTTTCCCAGGGGTTTATTTCAGCCCCATGCAGAACTATCTGTAGAAAGTGTGTGTGTGTGTGTGTGTGTGTGTGTGTGTGTGTGTGTATGTGTGTGAGTCCTGTTCCTCAGAGCACATCCACCTTCTTTTCTGCATATGGAGTTTCTCACTGGGACTGTGATCTCTGAATTACACTAGTCCGACTGTCTAGGAAGTCCCTGGTATCCCCCTGCCTCCAGTTCCCCAGCACTGAGATTATAAGCATGTGCCATCACACCGATCCATGGGTACTGAGGATCAGACTTGGAGCTCCAAGTTTGTGTGTCAACTACTTCAGCGACTGAACCATCTCCCTATCTCCTCAGCCTCCGCATAACGTTTCGAAATTTCTTCAACCTAAAATGTGACACCATCGTACCACAGAGGTGGCTACAAAGGTTGTAAAGCGTCACCTAATTATTCAGATGAAAGGCAGGAACACTGTGCTGCTCAGGCACCACTGCACAAGGTCTGGATTGGTAAGGTTCGGATCATCTGACATTTCTACAATGGGACAAATAAGACTATCTATTCATCGTGAGAGTCCTGAACGGCTTTGATTTGCTCATGGTTTTGAATAAACTAATAATAGACCAAACAGTTTTGTTGCATTCCATTCTACATCCGGACAGCTTCTCCCTGTGCCTTCCTTGAGTGAACACAGGAGGCTGTTGGATATACTGGCGCTGTCATGCCATTACTGTTAGCCGTTTTAGAATACTAAATGTGACATTCATGGCCTAGTGGCATTAATGCACCTTTCAAAAGTGCCCAGTTTTTTTTTTCTTGAAAGTAATTTCAGCAGTGATAGGCTACCACTGGGTAATTTCTGATAAGCAATTAGCACATATCAAATCAAGACATATTATCCAAGGCTTTGTGCTGCCACTGCAGATATAGCAGGGGTTAGCCATTAAAAACATCAGTGAAAACTTCTGCTATTATTACGGGAGCAGTGGGCAATATTCAAATGGAGACAACTGAACCATTTAAACAAATGTATTTTTAATCATAAAATGTCACTCCTCTTCAGACCCGTGTTTCCTATTAATGTGCTGGAGACAATGTTAATAAGATTGGGGCGGCCTTCAGAGAGCAGCTGAAGTCTCATTGTGAAGGACAGCGACGGAGAACACAGCAGTGCGGGACTCTGTAGCATCACTGATGGGATGAGACTTGACAGGACCTAAGGTCGCCAGCCAACTGTCCAAGCAACAAAGAGACACTGAGATGACAACGCAAAGGGGCTCCTAGCCTCACCCTCACCTTCCATACGGGGGTGGGGGAGGACAAGGTTAGAAATGTTATAGTTGCGGGTGTGGTGGTGGTGGGGAGTGGGTGTTCCAAGTTGCTGTTTCACAGACTAGCTCATTCGTGAAGTATGGATGGATCTGAAATATCATTGTGTCTACCCATCGTGACACCCTAAAGAGAAAATACCACATCCAGTGGGCGCTAAGATTTCCATGGGCATGGTGTGTTCCCATCACCGCCATCAGCTGGGTGACAGTTGACAGCCAGGCATCCAGTCCCTACGTGAACAGCCAGCTGCTACAAACTGGCCATCAGTTACTCTTCTGTGTCCTGAACTGAGAAAGAGATAGTGAATTGGATGTGCAAATAAACAGTAGAAACTGACGCTGAAAAGGGGTGGGGAGCCAACCTGGCAAGCCAGCCTTCCAAAGAACCCAGGGCCACTGCTGGAGATTCTAGGAAATGAAAATGACAGGAGTCTTTTGATTGGTCCCAAGGGAATGCTTCGGAGTACGGATCACCATATTCCCAGAACACACCCTAGTTTCCCTGGGGGTCCAGGGAACAAACACATCTGCCAGACAGAGAGGAAGAGAGAGAGAGAGAGAGAGAAAGAGAGAGAATATCCTTGAAGGGAAACAGTCATAAGCAGAGAAAATATCCAAGAGGGAGCCTCGGAAGAAACCAAACAGGTTTATGGCTTGGGAGAGAAAAGTGGTTTGGTGCAGTTTGAACTGACCTGGAAGCCCTGGGCTTTCTTTTCTAGTCAGCGCTCCTGAGGAGGAGGGGGGGTCACAGGCAAAGAGTTCTTCTCTTGGTGGCGGCCTTCTCCCTCAGAGACACATCTACTAGGGTTGAGTACATGACCTGGGGTGCATCAGAGGTTGGAGCTGCTAAGAAAGGGGCAGCCTTTGCGCATGTCTTCAAGGGCTGGGGTGGCAGCCAGAGTCACAGAAGATGGAAGCCCCTCTTCCTCCGAACATCCTGAAGAGGGTTAGAGGCAAGATTAGCAAGTAGAGGCTGCTAATCGCTGAC